CCCCTTTGGGGCCTCCCCTTCTCTGAGTAGGAAAAAAGAGGAATGGGACAGGGGGTTTGAGGGTGGGACAAGGAAGAGAGTAGCAAGGGAGCTGAAGTCAGAATGTAAAGTGATTAAATAAATAAAAATTAAAAAAAATTCATATTGGATCAATTTAGGAATGCAAGCCTGAATGAAAGATGCAGGACTGAATTAAAGATGCAGCCATTGGGGTTACAGCTAATAGACCTTGTAAATCTATAATTGTTAGCATCTGATAATTAAAAATGAGTCACAAAAAGGAGTCTCAACTTTTAAATCTGTGAATAAAAAGAAGAACAGGCCCACTAATAAGACTAGAAAAATTTCTAATTCAAGACAGTGGGAAAAATAAATGATGATATTCCTAAAAATATTAGCACTGTATTAAACATTTACTGTATGACAAATACTACTAAGTTAGTTCATAGAATTGTTTTATTTCTCAAAACAGCTGTATTTGATTATGTATAATTTAACCCCCCCAATGTGAAGAAGATTTAGCTTACAAAAATTAAATAATTGGCTATATTTTTTCTTAGATAACAAGTGAGACACTGAAGATTTATTTATTTATTTTTTTTGACTGATAAGCTAATGGTGCGTGCACACATAGACAAATCCAATTTGGTAAATGTAAAATAGAAAAAATACAGTTAAATTTCAAATACTATGGCTAAAAGAAATGTGATTCAAGAATATATTTTCCAAACAAAACTGTATGCATGTGCATAGTTGTATATGTTCATGTATGTAGGGTACATGAGTGCACAGGTATGTGTGTGTGTGTGTGTGTGTGTGTGTGTGTGTGTGTGTGCTTGTGTTTATGTTTGTTTTGTATGTGTATGCACAGATCAGTGTGCTGTGGAGGAAAAAGGACAACCTGGGTTTCCTTCCTTAAATGTTATCTGATATCTCTTAAATTTATTTTCATGTGAGGCTGCATAAGTGTACGTGTACCACGTTCACACAGAAACTTGCAAAGGCCAGAAGACATCAGTTTTCCTGGAACTGTAGTTAGAGACACTAAGTGGATGCTGTTATCTAAACACAATACCTCTGCAAGAGCTATAGGCACACTTAAGCTTTAAGCCATTTCTGTTGCCTCAATCAAACTTCTTTTGGAGACTGTCTTTTGCTGTGCAAAAACTCACCAGAAAAGCTAGAGTGGCTTTCCTGTAAGCACCTCTCTGTGTCCAAAGCCCTGGGATTACAAATATATATCACTATCTGGCTCTTTTTGTAGGGTTATAAGGCTCAAACTAAGTCCTCCTGCTGGGAATACAATCACTTTGCCAATAAACTATCTCTCCAGTAAAATTATTAAGTTTTCTTAACATACTGTTGTTGCTGTGAAAATGTACCTAACATAGTGGTAGTATGATTGACTAGGATGCAAAAAACTTGCTTCAGTACTCAGAATCAAAATACAAAACATTATAGCTGAAGTCACAGAAAAGAACCAGATACCAGAGAATGAACATAAATGATAAAAAGAAAATTTTCTCATAAATACACTGTTGACGTTTTCGGATTATATTTTGAATTTATGATGCAATTTTCAAGTATCTTGTAGAATGTTCCAGTGAATTCTAATATTTAAAAACTTTTAAATGTGTTTAATCCAATATTATGACCAGATAAAAACACAGTATATTACAAAACTGACTATAGATGTAGAAAGTAAGAGTGGATACCTAATTCTATATTTATGCTTTCAGATATTTTCAATTAATTGTTTTGAGATTATAGCATACTTAGATTACTTTACCCTTCTATTTTCCTTACTCCCAGCCTTCCTAACTTCACTCTTTCATACCACACACACACAAACACACACACACACACACACACACACACACACACACACAGCACCACCCACAATGACAATAGCAACAAGTAAGATTTTTTAATATGATCAAACAATGATTATTATTATTATTGTTGTTGTTGTTGTTGTTTTAATTTTATGTCTTGGTGTGCTGAAGAAAACTTCTCCCTGAAACATTTTCTGTTGAGTAAATTCATTTGTTGTTCCTATTCTCAACAGAATGAGGATAAACCCACTTATGCAGACATTTATCATCAAAGTCATCAAAAGGGCAGTTACTGCCTAAGGACAAGCAGTACATAGATCTTCAAATATTCTATGTAGCAAAAGAGAAAAAAATAATTGAAGTGTAGAACTTAGGTTCTTTGATATACAATGTCAGTTAAAGATGGTGTAGTTGCTGTGGTACAAACACTTTGAAACTCTTATTTTGCTTTTGGGAATTTTCTTCCATTTCTCATTGAAGGTTTAAATAACCATACTATTTAAAAACAACTGCTATCGATCTTATCACTAGATGGCAGTAGGAATCTTCTAATAAAAATAGAATGACAACTCAACATGTACACATAAGATTAAAAATAAATTAATGACAAAACAATTACTGCACGAGAAATAACACAAAGAACCACACTTTTTACTAGGCCAGCCTGAAGCAAACTTTTGTACTTCTAGACTTGTTTAATTTGCTTTTATGACTTTATTATAAGCCAGTCTTATAAGTGAGTTTTCTTCTTCTTTAAAAGATATTTTTTTCTGTTGATGAGTATGTTTTAGTACATCTTCTGCATTTTATAACAGACAATACATATGTTAACTATTACTTGGCAGGCAGTTGCAAAAATGTTAAATCTAGAAGTGTATGTGTGTTGGAGGGAATGGATTTACAGAAAGAAAAGTAATATATAGTTGAGATTTTTGCTTTATTATGTTTAATAATTTCTAAAATGGATTCTAACATGAATCATATACAACCAAAGAAATTATCTGGAATTTTAGGTAACATTACAGATCATCAAATGGTTATTATTTGCTCATTTACTTATTTATTTCAGTTTGAAAAAACTTTCTTCTCAGAAAAAAAATTTAAACAGAAACATAAAGTATAAGATACAAAAAATCAGAGCTGTTACAAGTACAAGGGAGTTGGAATCTGAGGTTTGGAAACAAGGAATCTGGAGGTCAGAACCCACACAGGTTTGTGGTCTTTTTTTCTGCATATTCTCGGCACATATTTGAGGAAAGCAACATGGAAATCTTTGATATATTTTAAAACTATCCAGCTTAGACTTATTTGATAAAGTCCTTACCATATAAGTATAAGGACATAATTTCTAAACCTTACATTTCCACAAAAAGTCAGGTATGGTTGAATACTTTCTCTAATACTAGAGCTGTCAAGCAGAATTAGGTAGAGTCTCAGACCAGTCTAAGCAATCAGTTAGCTCTGGATTCAATGAGAGTCAGAGACACAGTCCCAAAGATAAGGAGGAAAGCCACAGTGGAAGACACCTGACATCAAGCTCTGGTTTCTACATGCCTACACACACACACACACACACACACACACACACACACACAAACACTGATACAACATATATACACACAGTTGTGCAATTCACAGATTGAGAACAAAATTAATGGCAAAAACTATACAAGCCCTACTGAAAGTGATCACTGTGTTATAAGTACAATTTTCCTCAGCAGATTGACATCCTCAGTCTGCTCAATCTGCATCTCTGAGCAACCAAGAACTCTGAGGCTGACTGAGCTCCAGATCCAGGCTTTTTGGTCCTGTTTCTTCTTGTGGCCTGGAGTTGGATGTGCAGGGTAGTGGTGCCTAGCTCTTTGCACCTCTGGGCCACATGCTGAGCAACAAACATGGCTTCATTTGGAGACGACTCATCTCAGTCAGCCTTTACCTTCATTCCATCAATCAATCTGCAGATGGTATCTTTGCCAGAAAGGCTAATACATGGACAAATGTATCATTGTAGGATGCAAAGATGTGCAGTCACCAAATACATTCTCTCTTTAGGCTACTTGATGTCCAAGACTGATGACTTGACTTTCTTCTTTTCTTTCCCCTTGTGTGATGCCATTTCTGAATGTCATCACCAGACTCCACCATAGGAAAGCTAGGTACAATTCTTGATGGAACAAAATGATGCCCTGATGGCTATGTATTTTAACACATACATATGTACATAATATATATATATATATTAGAATATACATACATATATATGTATATACATATACTAAATATATGTATATATACATACATATACATGTAAATATAATTTTTATGTCAAATAATTTTAGCTAATATTTTTATAAAATGATGACAAAATGATATGGAAAAAGTATATTGAATTATAATCTAAGGAAGAAAATGCCAGAAGCAGAACAGAACAGTAAAAGGACAAGGACATTTGACTCCTATTGATTTGGTTCAACAAAATTAACTATGTTGGCCATGGAGGAATTGCTAATGGAGTCTCAGCTAAGTGAATGGCAAAATACAGAAATAGTTCTTAGTGCACTGGGTTTTCAGCAAGATTAAATAGCAAAATGTATGTAAGCAAACTGGAGAAAGGCAATTTCTGTAATAAATGTTTCTAGGCAAAATAGGTGTCAACTGAAACTAGATCTCCAACTCATATCCTGTACAAAAATCTATTTAAAATGTGACTAATATATTAATGTAAAACTTGAAACTTAATCACTAAAACTGCCATAGGAAATTATATGAAAAACAGTAAAAGATAGAATCATAGGTGAGAACTTTCTGGAAAGGATTCCAAAAGTTCAGTAAATAACAGCAGCAACAACTCACTGGTGAGACTGCAAGGAATTAAAAATCAATATGCTTCACAGCAGAGCAAAGAACAGTGTGAGACTAGTGAGATAATAGAAAAAAATTCTTTGCAGACTTCACAGATAAAGGATTGATACAGAATACATAAAGAACTAAATACATAAAGAAAAACATAATTGTAACACTCTAAATAATACAGTCAGAACCTGGGGAAATGAAATGACCACACAGTTCTCAAAAGATGAGGTGTAAATGGCCATTATATGCATGAGAAAAAAGAAAGTCTTAACATCTTGAGCCATGAGAGAAAGGCGTATCAACTCCACACATTTGATCAAATAGGAGAGTGTCTAGAGTAATGGATTTTGTAGTTGGCTGTGGAAGATATCTGTGGGCTAATGAGAGAGTGGGCATACAAGCCTGTGAACAACCATGCACCTCATCCCTTGTTCTTATTTGATGGAAACATGATACTTGGCTCTTATCCTAGCCTGTCAGCGAAAAAGGAAAAGATCAAAGAGCCCCTTCTTGGGGAACTGTTCAGAAAGGACCTTTGATCAAAGGCAGCATCAGAGGTACCAAGGTCTCAACATCTTTTCCCTCAACCCCACTTTCAGTGCTCATAAGTGAGAAACTGATTGAATAGAAGAAACTGAGTGTGCCTTGGAAAGAGATTGTAGACATGATTCTGACCTAAAACAAACAATATAATAAAAGTATCCTGACATTCTGTCTCACCCAGGTCATAGTCTTTATAATTAAGTAAAAAATGCCATGGAGGATAAGGAGAAATTAATTCTTTACATTATTGATTGGAAAGAAATTTAGTGCAGCCACTAAATACATCAATAGGGAGATAATCCAAAATAAATAAAAATAAAACATGTAACAAAAAAAAAGAAGTACTTGCTACACCATTTCTGATAATCCAACTGTATACAAAAGAGATATATACACATTGTTGTTGTAGAATTAGAATAGGCAGGAACTGACAGATGGATAAAGGATACTCCTACATACAAAAGAACATTTAAAAATGAACATTTGGATCTTGAGGAAGCACTATTCCTAATTGTCTGAGAAAGTGCCAGAGTGATTTACAATATGGTTGTACAAGTTTACATTTCCACCAGCATTGGAGGAGGGTTCCTCTTTCTCCACATTCTCTCCAGCATGTGTTCTTACTTGTGTTTTTGATCTTAGCCATTCTGATGGGTGTAAGGTGAAATCTCAAAATTGATTTGCTTTGCATTTCCCTGATGAGCAAGGACATTGAACATTTTTTTTAAATATTTCTCTGCCATTCGATATTCCTCTATTGAGAATTCTCTGTTTAGCTTTGTAACCCATTTTTAATTGGGTTGATTTGTTGTTGTTTAACTTCTTGAGTTCTTTATATATTCTGTATATTAACCCTCTGTCAGATATAGGGTCCTTTCCCAATCTGTAGATTGTCATTTTGTTCTGATGGCAGTGTCCTTTGCTTTACAGAAGCTTTTCAATTTCATGAGGTCCCATTTATTGATGGTTGATCTTAGAGCCTGTGCTGTTGGTGTTCTGTTCAGGAAATTGTCTCCTGTGCCAAAGAGTTCAATGCTTTTCCTTACTTTTTCTTCTAACAGGTTAAGTGGGTCTGGTTTTATATTGAAGTCTTTGATCCAGTTGGAATTTAGTTTTGTGCATGGTGATAAATATGGATACATTTGCATTTTTCTACATGTAAACATCCAGTTAGACCAGCACCATTTGTTGAAGATACTATTTTTTTTCCATTGAATGGATTTGGCATCTTTGTCAAAAATCAGGTGTCCATAAGTGTGTGAATTTATGTCAGGGTCTTCTATTCGATTCCCTTGATCCATCAGTCAGTTTCTATGCTAGTATCATGCAGTTTTTAGTATTGTTACTTTATATTACAGCTTGGGAATGGTGCTTCCTCAAAATCCAGCTATACCAGTCCTAGGCATATATCCAAAAAATGCTAAAGTACACAACAAGGACATTTGTTCAGCCATGTTCATAGCAGCTTTATTTGCAATAGCCAGAAGCTTGAAACAACCAAGATGCCCCTTAGTTGAGGAATGATACAGAAATTGTGGTGCACCTACACAATGGAATATTACTCAGCAATTAAAAAAAAAAACAAGAAAATCATGAAATTTGAAGGTAAATGATAGGAACTGGAAAAGATCATCCTGAGTGAAGTATCCCAGAAGCAGAAAGACACTCAGGGTATATACTCACTCATAAGTGGATATTAAATAAATAATATAGGATAAACATTCTACAATCTGTACACCCAAATAAACTAAACAAGAAGGAAGACTCTGGCTAAGATGCTCAATCCCCATTCAGAAAGGCAAAGAGGATGATCAGAAGAGGGAGAAAACAGGGAACTGGACAGGAGCCTACCACTGAGGGCCTCTGAAAAGCTCTACCTTGCAGAGTATCAAGGTAGATGTTGAGAATTACAGCCAAACTTTGGACAGAGTGCAGGGAATATAATGAAAGAAAGGGAAGAAAGTAACACCTGGAGAGGACAGAAGTTCCACAAGGAGAATAACAAAACCATAAAATCTGGGCACAGGGGTATTTTCTGAGACTGATATTCCAAACAAGGACCATTCAATGGAGATAATGTAGAACACCTGCACAGGTGTAGCTCATGGCAGTTCAGTGTCTAAGTGGGTTTCATAGTAATGGGAATAGGCACTGTCTCTGACATGAACTGATTGGCCTGCTCTTTGGTCACCTCCCTCTGAAGGGGGAGTATTCTTACCAGAACACTGAAGAAGACAATGCAGCCACTCCTGGTGAGAATTGATAGACCTGGATAAGAAGGAAGGAGAGGAAGACCTTCCCTATCAGTGGACTTGGGGAGGGGCTTGGGTGTAGTAGGGGAGGGAGGGTAGAATTAGGAGGAGAGGAGGGAGGGAGCTACAGGGAGGATATGAAGTGAATAAATTGTAATTAATAAAAATAAAAATAAGAAATACAAAAAAATAAACATTTTAAAATATTTTCTTTATTATTATTTTTATTATTTATTACAATTTATTCATTTCATTTCCTGTCAGTAGTCCCTCCCTCACCTCTTCCAGGTCCAACCCTCCCTCCTTCTTGTCCCCCCCTCGCTTCCTCAGTCCACTTATAGGGGAGGTCCTTATCCCCTATTATAGCCTATCAGGTCTCATCAGGAATGCCTGGGTCTTATTTCTCTGAGGCCAAGTAAAGCCACCTCACCAGGGGGAGGTGATAAAAGATATAGCCACTATGTCCATGTCAGAGAAAGCCCCTGATCCCTTACTAGGGAACACACATGGAGAGTGAGCTGTCTGAAAGGTTCATGTGAGCAGGGTTAATTTCTCTCCATGAATAGTCCTTGTTTGCTTTATCCATATCTACAAGACCAGATGAGACAAGATTTTTTGACTCTATTGGTCTCCTTGTGGAACTCCTGTCCTCTCCATGTCTTTCCACTTCCCCTTTCTTCCATAAGATTCCCTATACTTGCCCAAAGTTTGGCTATGAGTCTCAGCATATGCTTTGATACCCTGATGGGTAATGTCTTTCAGATTCCCTCTGTGGAAGGCTGTTGACCTATTCCTTGTCTTTTGCTGCTTCTGTTATCTATCTTGCTTGCCCTTCTGACTGAGGATTATGCCTCTTCCCTAGGGTTCTCCTTGTTGTTTAGCTTCTTTAAGACTATAAATTTTATTATGTTTCTCTTATATTATATGGCTGGTATCCACTTATAAGTGAGTATATACCATATATGTCTTTCTGGGTCTGGGATACCTCACTCAGGATGATTTTCTTTCTAGTTCCATCCATTTACCTGGAAATTTCATGATTTTCTTGTTTTTAATTCCTGAATACTCTTCTATTGTGTAAATGTAGCATGATTTCTATATCCATTTCTCCATTGAGGGACAGGTAGGTTGTTTCCCAATTCTGGCTGTTATGAATAAAGCTTCTATGAACATAGCCGAACAAATGTCCTTGTTGTATGGTGGAACAAATTTGGGATATATGCCGAGGAATGGTATATTTGGATATTGAAGTAGCACTATTCCTAATTTTCTGAAAAAGCACCGGATTGGTTTCCAAAGTGGTTGTACAAGGTTACATTCTCACCAGCAATGAAGGAGGGTTCCCCCTTTCCACACCCTCTCCATTATGTATTGTCACTTAAGCTTTTGATCTTCGCCATTCTGATGGGTGTGAGGTAAAATCTCAGAGTCGTTTTGATTTGTATTTCCCTGATGATTAAGGGTGTCGAGCATTTCTTTAAGTGCTTCTCTACCACTGATATACCTCTGTTGAGAATTCTCTGTTTTCCTATGGACCCTATTCTTAATTGGAGTATTTGGTTTGTTGGTGTTTAACTACTTGAGTTATTTACATATGCTGGATGTTAGCCCTCTGATGTAGGTTGGTGTAGATTTTACCCAGTCTGTAGGCTGTTATTTTATTCTGTTGCCTTTGTTCTTAGCTTTACAGAAGCTTTTCAGAAAAATCAAAGTTTTCTTGACTTAGGACATTAATTTTCTCTTTGCAATTTAGAATCGTGTTTTTATAATTATGAGTTAAATACGAGAAAATGTTGGCTATGTTGTAAATCTTTGACTTCTTAGATACAGTGATGATCAGTGGTGTGAAATATAATACTAGTTTTCTTGTGATTTGGTTTAGAATTGTATTTTACAGGCTTAGCAAGATAGCTCAATCGGTAAAGGTGCTTGCCCTCAAATCAATGACATGAGTTCTATTCATAGAATGCACAGATAGGGGGAAACAGAGAAATGACATATGTGCACCTTAACATGCATTTACACTCACAGAATAGTGCAGTATATATACAATAATATTTTTTTAAATAGTTGTTGACAAGAAACCAAAGTGCAGGAAGAGAGTGGCCAGAAAAGTATTATTTTTCCCTGATAATCCTTTGCTGTAAAACTGTAGTTAAGAAATTGCTGTGATCTACCTGTGGCCAGAACTACTGTTGAGATTCCTTTCTCAAAATCAGTGATCTCAAAAGTGACAGCAATACTGCTCCATCCCCTGGCTTCTTTGTTAAGGTGAGAATAGTTTCTTAAGAGTTAGGTGTAACCCTAACCAAGCAAGTCAAAGACTTGTATGAAAAAAATTTCAAGTCTCTGAAGAAAGAATTAGAGGAAGATATGAGAAGATGGAAAGATCTCCCATGCTCATGGCTTGGCAGGATTAACATAGTAAAGATGGCCATCTTAACAAAAGCAATCTACAGATTTAATGCAATTCCCATCAAATTGCCAACACAATTATTTACAGACCTGGAAAGAAAAGTTCTCAACTTCGTATGGAATAACAAGAAACTGAGAATTGCTAAAACAATCCTCTACAATAAAAGATCTTCTGGAGGTATCTCCATCCCTGATCTCAAGCTGTACTATAGAGCAACAGTTATAAAAACTGCATGGTACTGGCATAGAAACAGAATGGTGGATCAATGGAATCGAAAAGAAGACCCAGAAATAAACCCACACACTTACGGACACCTGATTTTTGACAAAGATGCCAAAACCATACAATGGAAAAAAGATAGCATCTTCAACAAATGGTGCTGGTCCAACTGGATGTCTACATGTAGAAAAATGAAAATAGATCCATACTTATCACCCTGTACAAAACTGAAGTCCAAGTGGATCAAAG